AGTCACTCTTAGACTTTGCATAGCTTACAGGTGGAATCATGGCTTAGTAGTTTCAGTCTGTTTTGCCCTAGATGTTGTTGTTGTGTTTTGAGCAGAGTGCATGGCTTTACCATGGGATGGTGGGATGGCTGGGGGCCCCTTCCCCAGTGGACCCGTTTCTCTTATGGGCTCCCCTTCCACGCCCCCTTAGTTAATTTCAGAATTATGTCCATGAGCAGCTATACAAATTGATATCAGAACAATCACTCTGGTTGTCCTACTTCAGGATTCAGTCAGTTTGTACCACTTATTCGCCTTTCCTGTGTTTGGAATTTTCATGTCATTTAATATAAGCTGTTCTCAAAAGATTCTGGTTCAAGGAAAGGAGAAACTCTTTCCATGGTTGTTAAGATTCATTGTGTTGAATGTGGAAATCGGGATCAGAGTAATTTATTTTCAGAGCACACCTGTAGTGCAATAAAATAATTCGCATAGAGTGCACTATATAGTGTTCAAGGTTCAAGGATTTGTAAATATGTTTTTCTGTAATGCTGGGTTTGCTCCACAGGCAGGCCATGGCTCCTTGCTCTTTCCATTACTGCTGTTTACTCAGAGTGGTCAGGTGGTCATGGAAGAGAAGAAGAGCAGAGCAAATTACCTGCTTCTACGGCCAACTTGCTGGGTTGTGGCTCAGCCAAAGCTCCTTCAGACTTCAGTGAGAGCTTTTACTAAGAGAGACCTTCAGGGTTTGGTCTTAAAATACCACCTGATATAATGAATATGGGTGAAGGATTTTTTTTTTTAAATGCATTAATCCCTTCTAATAGGACTCTCTCTCGAAGGAATTTTGCTGAACACCAGTGCACAGCTATATCTAACTGTGCTAGCTGAATAAAGTGTTATTTGCATAGTGTTATAGCTCCGGAGACAGTACCTCTTCAGGGGAACAGAATGGGATTGTGTGTACAGACACCTGCCATGCAGACATAGACGTTTGTGTGTGTATGTCTATAAAAATACATGTGATTATATACTCAAATGATATTTTATCCGTGCTTTCATTTAAAATGTACCATGTCACAGTAGAGGGAAAGATCTCAAGGGTTTTTTAATTTTATTTTCCAAAATATCAGCTCAGCTAGAGACCCTTTTAATACAGTTTCCAGAGGAAATGAGGCTTTCCTGGTAATTCTGTGTTTTGGCTTTTACATATGGCCTGTAACAGTCTTTGAGTTTCATCACCAATTTTAATTAAATTTGATATGGGGGTAGAAGTCCCAGAGATATGAAGTCTTTACAAGATTAATGAAAACTGGCTGCCAAGTACCGAAGGAAAATCCATTAATACTCGATCTGAAAGAAAGAGTGACGCTTGAGCTCACTGCTTTGAGACAATGAGATATTATGAATGCCCCAACCGTGGGAAAAACTTCAATCAGCACTCACATCTTACTAGACACTAGAGAATCCAACCACAAGATACACATTCATAGGAAACAAGGCTTCATTAGTTCCACAATTCACTTTGATACATGGAATATAATTAAAAGAAAACTGAACATCTTATGTGTCCTTCCCCTTGAGGTTTCACACCCTTTAACCAGGTTTGTCTGTATGCCGGGGAGATTTGAGCATTTGGCCCTGGACTAATGAGGAACACGCTGGTTCCAATATCCTGACTCAGAATCTTTTCAAGTATGGGATGAGCCACTGCTATAAGCATTAATCTTCCATGAATTTTTAGCAAAGAAAGGCATATATAGGATGACATCAAGAAAATCCCAGTTTAGTTTTCATACAGAAAATATTGTGGAGTATAATGCTGTATGCTTCCAAGCAAAGGTGTAGAAGCTGTTAGTAGGACTTTATAATCCTCCTGAACAAAGTGCTAGAATGATTTCCAAAGAAGGAACACCCTTGCATTAAGATAAAGGAGGTGACCTGAAAATTTTCAAGACACCAAAAAACCTGTAGTTTGAGTAATACGCAGAACTTTGGCAAAGTTTAGGTTAAAGCTAAATCCAGTCCTTCTTCTGTGATTCATGTCATATTGTAAATTCTCCTTCTTAGGCACAATTGTTCCTACAGGTGATACTAGAAATGAATTGAGTTATTGAGGTTGAGGTAGTTTATTTAGCTTCCCAAACTGGAATGATTGATTAGTTAAATTGTAAAGCAGGTTCCTTGGACATTATTTGAAAATAATATTAATGTTGAGGGATACGGTGAAGAGCAATTGTCTGCTAGACTGCGACAGGGAAAGGACATTTTAAAGGAAAATAACTAAAATCCAGATCTCAGGAAGAGGCTGTCAAAGTTCTTCTTTTCAGAGATCTAATGTGCATTGGCTTTAGTTACTGCTAGGGTGGAAAAACTGTGCAAGACACATGATTTGGTTTATTTAACTATCCATAGCTTCAGTTACTGAATAAAAGTGTCATAGGATCTTTTGGTTTGGAAATTCACCTGATTAGTTATGAAGAAGAAAAAATTAACTGAATTTTCAGGACTAAATTACACAGAAATAATTTCAGTTCATATGCACGCTTTCCCAGACGTACTTGTAAGCCTTTTGCACAAGTTATGAATTCTGCGTAGAATTCCAGAAACTACAGAAGTTGCAGAATACAAAACCACATAACACAGTACTTTTAATTCTGAGATAGATAGCTTCTGAAATTGTGAATTCAGTTCAATGAATTTAAGTTATGAATTGCATATTATAATTTTTTAAAAATAAATGAATTCAACAAACTAAATTTCTAAGTGTGTTTTCCTAATCCTCAATTTTTATTGTTTTCCTAGAATAGATGGTATTTTACCTCACCTCTATTTGATACTGTAATAAGCTCTTTTTCATTAATATTTCATTCATTCATACCTAATTGTCTTTAATGATTAAAACCACATTTAAAGAAATAACTTTATACATCATCAACCTTTAGAGCCTCAGAAGTGTATGTATTGACTGTCAAGCGTACGTTATTGCTTAAAAGTTCTTGCACGTCGAGTATATAATTTATGTGCATTATAGGCTGAACATGTTTATAATCATGAGATTGAATTCAAATTCTTCCTCACACCTTCTCACTCATAATACTAAGTCACTTGGCCTTTACGCAGGGGGGGAAAAAGTCTTCTAACTTGTATAAATGTACTGACTGATGTGATAATCATCTTTCATTTGGCCAGAACAGCACAAGAACAATCTCTCTCAATTGTTAATATTTTATAACCTGATATATCTACTATGAGAAATTAAATCCTCCTTGCTAGTGTTCACTGAATCACAGATGGCTAGAATTAAAAGTGGAAATCGACTGACAAATCATCCATGGTTTGATTTTGCCATTCTGTGTATCTACCAAAAAAAAAAAAAAAAGAGCCCTGAACTACTTTATAGTGTAAAACACCATTCTCTGTGATAAACTTCCTTAAACTTTCTAAGGATTTGGCTTTTTAGGCAATTGTCAGTAACATCTCTCCCTTTCCCTCTCTAATACATATCGGGGGTAGGGGGGTGCAGGGAGAAGGGGGAAGAAATAGGTACTTGTAAGTTTTAAGTTACATGGTTTATTTTAAATGACAAAGGAAAATACCAATCCAGGTAATTTTCAGACTGCTCCTTTAAAATTAAGACTGTGTTTCTATTGACTCCTTTAATCAAAAAGGCTGCTGGGCATCAGCTTGTAGGGGGTACAGAGGTGCTCTCAGTGGATGTTTTTCACTGGCCTCAGTGCATAAACAGCCAAGACCAGTGACCTTACCCTTCAGAAGTGTATTTTGTATTTCATAACCTTTTTAATTCTAGGGTGAAGTCTAGTTGCATGCACATGCCATCCTGATGTCTAATGTTTTGTTTTTACAGACTTTGCGGCTTTCAATATTTTTGAACAGGGGTTTGGTTTTCTTTTTTTTTTTTCCCCTATGTATATAAGAATTATAACCCAAAGCCTTTGTAATGTTTAACAAACTACTTTCCCAATGTCCCCACAAATATCTTTAGTTATTATATATATTTTTAAGCTGTACAACTTCACACCACTGAAAGATAATATAAAACATTAAGAGTACCCCTCACTGTGGGGAATTTTGTATACTTTAATTGGAATGGTTAAACACGGGATAAATGTAACATTTTTCTAGAATGTCACACAAGTAGGTTTTTTGTTTTTAAAGTATAAAAAAGTACAGGACAATTTTACTCATGGTGGTAATACTAAAATACATGGAAAGGAAAGTTTGCTTAAAAGAGAGAATGCGGTCTTGGGGGTGCTGTCACTCCACTATATTGATTCTGTACAGACAGCCACAAGAATGGCTGTCTCATTTACAAGATCTTTGACCATCTGATTTTTTTGGTGAGTTGAAATGTATGATCTGTGATATTTGTTACCAAGAAGTGTTATAGACACTGCTGACACAGATCAGATAAGAAACTGGGTCAGCTGACAAGATATTCCCTGTAAGTCTACCTCCCTGTAACACTTTGGTATCCTTCTGTGTGAAGGATTTTCTGAGCATGGCTTGTAGTCTACTATATAGTTTCATTTGCGATTATTGGAAAGTTCTTTCTCTCTCCTAAAAGAAAAAAAAAAAGAAAAAAAAGAAAAAAGAGAAGAACTTGTTTAAATCACATTTCTCTTTAAAGCAGAAAAAAAAAAGTAAAACTATTTAGTATTTAATTTCTCAAAGCTTGGCAGTTTTCGTGTATTGCTCTGTCAGAAGCCTTGTCTTTTCATTCGGCTTCTTTTCTGATTACAGATTATTCATTTATGGATGGGCAGCTGTAGAAACTTGCTTCTTGCGTATGCAAATTAATCATGGTAATGTTTATCATAAGGAGATTTTGTGGCAGTGGAAAAGGGGTTGTGTCAACATGTTCTTGATTTCAGTTGTATCTTCTTCTACAAATGGAATTGGCCTCCTTGCTTCACCTTCAGTGGATTTTTTTTTTTTTTTGCCATTTACCTCTTGGACTAGACACCGCTCACTAAGCAAGCTGTTTGATTCACTTACAGATCATGATTTTGGAAGGAGCTGGCAGGATGAGTATCAATTCCAGCAGCAATCTACTCCACCAGCAGCCTTCCTGGACAGACGGATATTCCACATGCAATGGTAGGAGGAATTGAACTGCTCTGAGCGGTATTTTTGGGAATAAAGCCAGGGGAAAGGGGCTGCTACACCTTTAAGTGTGTACAAGTATTATTTTTCAGTAGTACTAATTTACCGGAGTTTCACTTCTGGTAAGAAAAAATTTCATTTGTTATTTCGTTTGTAAAAAGCTGAACTTACAATAGGGACCAGTTTATTGTTCATTTCCTTACTGGCTCTCTTTATTAAAATTTAATGGTGTTGAAAATGCCAGAAGTTCTCTCTCAGTCCAGAATTCTTTCTCTCGTACCTTTACCCCTCATGCTTCCTCTGAACCAACATTACTGTTTAATGCTAATCACCCCTCTGGCTTTCCAGGGGAATAATATTTTTACTGCTTTGCTGTATTTGCTTTTTCAATTCAAATTTCTAGATAGCTTTCTAATTAGACTGGCATTAATGCACTAGGTAGCTTGTGGCTTGTGATTTTTTCTCTTTATTTCTCCTTACTGTTTTCTGATTATATATCTGGGTATATAAAAATGTATTCATATATATTCTCGCAGTGTAAAAAATATATAAACCTGTATCTCTATAGGTGCTTGACATAATTTTAGAATTCTTTTCATTATTCAATGAACAGGTAAAATTTAAAATCTAAACGGACAATCATATGCTACTCTTATCCCTCTGATCCAAATAGTACTACAAGAAACCTTACAATAAAAGTTCCCACTTAATGAAATGCTTATTCTTTTTGCTGTGTAATTTCTAAATACACAGGAATACATGTGCTTAATAAATGCGCTTGTTTTTCTATAACAGTGTCAGACACAAAAAAAGTAACGTCTGAGTTTCACTCTTCCATAGGATTTTGTGGAGGCAAATGGTGGGGCTCTATATCCAAGTTGCAGGGTGAAACTCCTCAGGATTAATTTATGTTTTAGAGGGACAGGAATCAAAGCTCAGACCAGCCTGCCCAGTAACTCACCGCTAAACTTACTTTTACCTAAGCTACTTTCTCCTCTCACGAAAGTATTTTTGCTAACATGAGGATTCTCATGGCCTTTGAAATCACTTTACTCTTCTGAAGTGATAAGAATACAAATCAATCTCCTTTTCAGGGGATATATGATGGCTCCAGCATACCTTTTTTCTCTGACATACCACATTTTAAATAATTTCCACACTCGTTCCCCACATCCTTCAATAGTAGGATGATGAACAGTCCTGCAAACTCCCTAAGTTACTTACACAAGCCTTGTTGGCTAATATTGATAAAGAAAGCTAAATAACTGTGGTATTGTTTCTGTGTTACCTGGAAACTGTGTCCTGTACCTCAGCTGAAGAAGCCTGAGGTCTAGTGCACCTGAGTTAAGGTGATTTCCTAAAATGTGCCAATTGTGGTGCTTGTGGTCCTCTGGCAATATCCACTGCTGTCAGTGTTTCTCACTGTGTGGTTAATTTTCTTCTGAGGAGACTGGGAACAGACTGGTGCCATATCCTGGAGCGAGGTCCCTGCAGAGCTAGGCCGTGGCAGTCTCTCCTCCCTCTGTAATCTCTCATTCCCTCAGCCTTAAACCCTTCTTGCACTTGTGAACATTTTATCTCACTGTCGCCTCTGTCTGGCATAGTCCATTTTCCTCCTTTCCCAGGGAATAAATTGCACTGAACTCTGTGAGGACAGACCAAAGCAATCCTGCCTTTGCTCTTATCTTACATAATGATCCTGTCCCATGTAGAATTTCTTCCATTTGCACATGCAAATTACTGTCGTGCAATGACATACAACTGAGAGCAGTTAAGGAGACTGCCAAGAAGAGACTCAGACATTCTAACAAGAAAATTAGGCAGCTTCCATAGCTAAAAATGAGTTTTATAACTACACTCAGAAACCCCTTTACCTGACTACAGCAATAATCTGCACCATCAGAATGCCAACTCTGTCGTGGAACCATGGCCCACACTGATAGGCTTTTACTGTGGAACAGTATGAGAGTGCTTTTAACTTTCTTTTTCCTAACCCCTTAATTAATATTTAGCCCCACTAAGTTCTTATACAAAGAAAGTTTCCACGTCTCCTTGTGAGAGTTTTGCAAGGCTTTTCAATCATTTTCTGATGCAATAAAGTAATTTTCCTACACATCCCTTTTCAACAGTATTTCTGTAAAGTATCTTTCCTCAGAGAACTTTGGTGTATTTAGCCAACATAAAAAAGTTAATTCCTGCAAATCAATCAGCCAAGAAGTGTGTAATGAAATAATGCCTAATTTTTAGTTGGAAAACTGAGGCCAAAACCCCCACAATATCTTCTCCAGCAATAGCCACTGAGCCAATCTTAAGGCCTGAGAAAAGCATCTAGATCTGCAGACTTCCAAGACATGCAATTTGGCTGTAGATCTTATTGTTGATGACTATTATGCTATCAGAGACAGTAAATTTTTTTTTTTTCTTTTCCAGTATCCAGTAGCTTCTATGGAACCCAGTGGCACGAAATACACCCACAGTACTGGACTAAGTTTCAAGTCTGGGAGTGGCTGCAGCACCTCCTTGATACCAACCAACTGGATGCCAACTGCATACCTTTCCAGGAGTTTGATATCAATGGGGAACATCTGTGTAGTATGAGCCTGCAGGAATTCACTCAGGCAGCTGGGACAGCAGGACAACTGCTTTACAGCAACCTCCAGCACCTAAAATGGAATGGTAAATAAATACTAGAGAGAGACATGTGTACATTAGTCTGAATTCTGAGATCTTCAGAAGCCATTTATGTTCCCCAGAAGCCTGCCTGGCAGATTATACTTGCTTGCTATGTGTGATATTCTGCTTATAGCACATTTATGGTATTGCTAAATTTCTTGGATATGACTTAAGGATGAAATCTGAAGGATGAAGAAGAGAGGGAATGTTTTCTACTCCAAAATCAGCCCTCTGGCTCAAGTGTAGAAGTTGCTGCTTGGAGCTAATACATTTGATTTCTCTGTGCTCATTCTCATACTTCCCATCTGCCAATTTGCTTTCTTGCAGGTCAGTGTGGAAGTGACATGTACCAATCTCATAATGTCATTGTGAAGACAGAGCAAACAGGTGAGTAGCAGTTGGGTAAATTGTCCTTTGAAAAGAGGAGATCCGTCTTCCAAGGGAGACAAATCAAAGTGGCATTAAATAAAACGGAAAGTGTATCATGCAGAATTAAAGAAGATGTCAGTCTGTGCCTACTTCTGAAGTTGCAGGTAATACCACATGCATGTGGCCACTTTTCCTGGGAGACCTCTGCAGTATCAGCAGTCTACACTGATGTTCAAAGTTGGAATAATTTGAGGTGCTCCATGGAAGCAGCTTTGTGGAGAACTTCATTCTACACTTCATTCAAAAGATTTCAAAACAACTATTTTAACAATCTGCTCCATTAAAAAAAAAAAAGGAAGAAAGAAAGGAAGAACAAATATTTTGTTGTGAAGTGCTGTAATGTTTAAAACACAAGGAGATTTCCAAAAACCAGCTTGGAGAGAAAACAAAATGTTACATTTTAAATGTTACATTTTCTTCACAGGTTTCAATGAAACTGAAATTCAGGCAGTAGTTCGGTTTGATCAAATCTGAGTTTTGCTATTGCAGTTCTTTCTGATTGTGTTTATAGCTAGATCCCTTTCCTCCCAGGGCTTTGTTCAACTGAGAAAAGAACTTGAGCTTGATTCAACCGTCCTCTTCAGGCACAATTATTTGCCTTGTTCCTTTGCCAGATCACGCCTGTCCATATCCACACTCTCTATCCCACTAGTCCCAGCCTCTTTGACAGTGTGCCCATGAGCCACGTTTTGATATCTGCTGGCAGAAAAAATACTGATCTGTTGCATGTGGTGTCTCCAACAACACTGTCAGCCTGTTTATCCACCTAACCTGTTGGAGCCCAGCCTCTCCACATTCTCCTTGCAGCAGGCAAGGATTGCAATCTGCAATCCACTCCTGCTGTGGGAGATGTACATGAGGCAGCCTTGCTGCTTTCCATAGAAGTAACTCCAGTAATCCTTTATTAAAAGTCCTGATTTATGAGATCCTGGTATGATATTATTTCCTCCTCCTACCAGAGATGAGGCAAAGCACATCTTGGAAAGGACTAACTGACGGGTGGTTCTCCTGGATGTGCTGAATCAGGAATGGCCTGGTGGGCCTCTGGTGGTGCCAACCATGGCCAGTTGGAGTGGGTTAAGTTTCTGCATGTGAGAGAGCAGGAATTGTGGATTAGAGCTGCTGGGAAAGTTACGTCTTGTGAGGCAGCAGGGACAGGGCTGGTGGTTTTGAGGGGAAGCCCGGCTCACTCCAGTAAATCATCACAGCTACAAAGACATGGGTACTGAAAAAGGGCAAAATGAACAAAGGTGAACACTTTCCCCATGTTCTGGCTGTGTAAGGCCTGTTTTCAGAGGCAACATTAGGCAGATCAGGTGTCCAAGCAAGCAAAGGGTGTGTGCTATTGTAGGAACGCAAGCTCTGGGTGCCCAAACATGCAGCTATTAGTTAGCATGCCTGCTAAATTCCTATGTCATAAGTGGTAACTTGGCCAAACATGATTATTTAGCTGTAATTCATTTTGGGGTTTTTGATTTCATTTATATGAACATGAAAAAAATTAGGTTTAACCTAGATTTGAACCTATCTCGTCCCTCCTGACCTGGTTTCAAAAGAAAAAGAGATTTTTAAGGCTTCTGACCTTAAACATGCACTGTGAAGGAAGTAATTTCCAGACCAGTCTACAGGTCATAAGGACAATACTTCCATTCTGCTTATATTGATCCATGTGACCAGAAGGTCACTAAAAATTATTCCTCTTTAATCATGAAGGTGGTTTTTAGGTTAAGGATGGGGACATGGTGTGCCTGGAATAAAATGGCCCTTCATCTAGGATTAGGCTTTGATGTTTCTCACTGTGTGCTTAAACAATAAACTGTGTTTCAGAGAGGACTTTCGAGTTCTACCATTGTAGAAATAAATACTCATCATAAGCATCCTTCTTTTTTACTAGATACTTGAAAACACTTTCATCTCTGTGGCTCTAACGCACTGTCATAATCATCAGGGGCTGAGAATTCAGGACTGGATTGCATAGAATTAGAGTTGATCTGGCATAGGAAACCTCCTCCAAGGCCAAGCATAAATGACATACTAGTCAGGAAAAGGAAGAGCGTAATACATTATTTCTAAAAGTCAGTGCTTTGTGTAAATGCATTTGCCTGAATATGCAAAACTCCATGCATAATTTGAGTGAAAGGAAATAATTTTGTACATAGCCCCTTCACTTCTTGGTTCTCTTGACAGCTTTTTTTTCGTTCTTTTGGTGATCTCATTTTCTTTTTGGTCTTTTACCTTCAGATCCATCATTAATGGTATCCTGGAAAGAAGAGAATTATCTTTATGACAGTGGCTATGGTAGCACAGTAGGTAACTAACATCACAATACTTCATGCATTCTGAGATAGCTTTATTGTTGTCTGAGGCTATTAGTTTAAATGTCTTCTTTTTAATTCCCAGAGTTATTGGACAGTAAAACATTCTGTCGTGCTCAGATTTCCATGATGACACCTAGTCACCAATCTTCTGGTAAGAAACTTGTAATTATATTTTTAATTGTTTGTCACTTGTCCCAGAGCTACCGACATGTAATAGTCTCTGTGGTCTTCTGTTGTAGGATTGCATCTGAGCCTCCAGTAATTTTAAACCAAGCAATGATGATTCTGACAGATTTATTAGCTGTCATTATTACAATAGCTTTCTTTAAAGAAATGCTTCTGTCTTCTCTCTGTCAAGAGGAAGATGATCAAATAATCTGTAATCTCCACATATCTTTTAAAGTGACTGAGTCAAAGAGGTAAACATTAGTGTCAGAGATACAAGACATTCCAGCTACACCACGCTTTTCTGAGGTGCAGCGCACGGGGCAAACAAGTGCCCCATTCCTCCCCAAAGCGGCCGTGCTCCCGGTGAGCCCGTGATTCATGCTGAGCAGGCTGCTGGCTTTGGGGCCGGGCTGGGCTTGGCCTGGGGCAGCTGCAGGGCAGGCACCGAGCCCTGTGCCCGAACGAGCCGGCACAAGGCTTGTGCTGCAGCCTCTCTGGGCTGACATGGGCTGCTCGCTCAACCCCCTGCCTTCCATGAGGGAGAGCTCAAATGTGCCTGCTGAAGGGCAGGAGACACAGCAAAGCTGTGCCTGGCCAAAGTGCACTCTGATCACACGTGGTGAAGGCCCTGTGGGCCCTGTCCTGGCACCAGCATGGAGGCAGGAGAGCGAGGCAGTGGGGAAAGAATAAAGCAGAGGTGGCAGGGGAGTGAGAAAGCGGGGAGGGAAGGCAGGTTCTTCTTAGGAGGCTGTTAAGCAGAGATCTGAGAGAGAAGGCGCTGTAGGTCCTGGGAGGAGAAAGGAGAGTGTGTTGCTGTAGTCCAGCCTTGCTCTGGGGACAGCCCTGTGCTTCTGCATGTGCCCATGGCCCCAGCCCCTGTGCTTGCCGTCCCCTGCTCCTCCAGCCTCCTGAGCTGGACTGGCCAAGTGACATACAGTTTAAACCAATGCACTCAGCTGCATTAATTAAATTAACAAAAGAAAGTAACAAATTAACAGAATTACCACCAATAAAAACACAAAACAACAAAAACCAGCAACAAAAAAACCCCAAAAACCAAACCAAAACAAAAAAAACCAACGCCTCCCCCCCCCCCCCCCAAAAAAAAAAAGGACAGAGGGAGAAAACTTGACCAGAATAAGAAAACCACCAAACCTTAAAAATCCCCAACCAAACAGCCTATCTTTCTCCGCCACCTCCACCCACTCTCACAAGATGGCTACCAGGATTTCAGGGCTCTCTGACAGGGCTGGGGACCTGTCCAGATCCCGGCACGGTGTGTTTATCTGCTGACTGCTTAAGCCTAGAGCTAGGGTGGCACGCCAAGGGCACAGCCTCCTGTAAAAACTAAATTTGTATATCCCGTAAAAAAATGGCTCATTCCTGAATCATATGCAAATAATGTGTAACCTTTTGTCAAAAGTTTTGCAAGACGGCTTTGTTGAAACTGCATCATAACTCTTTTCATCTGTCAGGCCCCAGCCTCCTAACATGGCATGTTTGAAACCAGTCTCCACGTAGGAGCTGTGGCAGAGCAGGAGGCTATTTACACAGCTGAAATCCAGAATAAATCACTGGCTAGGCAGAAGGCAGCTGAACTTCCAAGAATAAATTTCCAGCTAAGTGGAGCATAACAAACATTTGCAAGCGAATTGTGGGATTTTAAAATGAGAAGGATTTATATGAGGGCAAATAAAGAACTGGGTCCTGCAGTCGTTACCTGGAGTTCCCACAGGCTTTTAATAACATATGGGGAATAATAATCTGAGGAAAGGCAGTGAAATAAGCCTCATCTTACTTCCCCCATACCACACCCCCCTCCAAGCTGAGTGAGGTTCAGGCTAGTTCCTGCTCTTTGAGAGTGGGAAGGCAAAATGACTCAGAGCACGTTTGCTGCTTGGGGGTCAAGGACAGTAATTTATCAGACTTAGAATAGCAGAGGTTAGGCCTATCCCCACGGTCTTGTTCAGCTTATGTTTCCAGTTATGTATGAATAAAGCAAGTGTGTGAATAACTTTGCATCTACCTTTTCACATGCAGTTACTGCAGTAGCTTGTGCAAATCTGACAAGTTTCTATGCAAATAAATATTTCCTGTGAGTCATTTTCCCATGCAAATGCCTGGTTTCCATGAAAAGTATGATAATTGTGCATTCATAGAAGCTGGGAAAACATGCGTGGGACCTTAAGCTTTGCTTTATGGGATTCAGGGACAAGGTATGCTGAAAAGCAAACACAGAAGGGGCTCCCTCTCAGGTCTATCCCACAGATTTTGTGAGACTTAGAGCAATCAGATGAAAGCTATTCATTAAGTACAAGAGCAGAGCCAGGCTGCGGTGGTTTGGGGGCGGGAGGGTTGAACGTGCAGACGGCAAGGTAGGTTACAGTCATGAACAGGCGGAACTTAATTTTTTTTCATTTCTGAAGAAATGCTTGTGCCAGAAATCCTATTTCTCCTCTGGCTGGCTGCAGGTGATAAAGTACCATTGATGAGAAATGGCTTGTTCCTATGGCTCTGAGCCACAGAGAAATATATGCTTGTCCTGCTGCCAAAAACTCCTACCAGCGCAGCCCCTTTCCCCCACCCTGCCCCCCTAAACAACAGCGCTTTGCCAGTTCATTATGTTTTAGTCAGGTAGGTGTTCTGTGCATTGGTACCAGCACATACATTTCCCATTAGATCATCTCTTCAGAAACAAATAAGCCCCCAAAGATACGTGCTTCAGCAAAGACTAAGCTAATGGGACAATTCAGGATTCCTTTTACAGATGTGATCATCCTATTTTTCTCTCTCTCACACACAATATGAGGTGAGGTATTTGTTAATCAAATTTAGCTTTCAAAAGCCAAATGTTTACCTCTGCATTCATTCTTTATTCATCAGTGGTCTCTTTGAGAAGTGTGCTGATTAACATATAGTACAGAAAACAAAACTCTCCCTCCTCACTTAGATTACCTTCCGAAAAGTGATTATCTTTAGAGGAGATATTTGTTCTTTTTTGTGGTTTTATTTCTTTCAACCTGCTAGTCAATGGAAAGCCTTTAATCAAATTTACAAATAGGCTTCATTTTCCTTCTCTGCAGACTCTTCAGATGCAAAAAAATCGCAAGATCATACCCCAAAGTCCCACACCAAGAAGCACAGTAAGTCAACATCCATGCTTTTAAGGGTTGGTTAGTTGATTGAAGGAAAAAGAAACAAATGAAAACCAGATCCTATTTGGGAGGGAAGAGGAAGCATTTTGAACGCAAAACTTATTAAATCGTTATTGTGAATGAATTCTGAAAGGATCTGACTATCTAGTACTGCTTGTTTACCTCATTTTTGGACTCCATATTGTTAAATTTTTCAAATTGTTTTATCAGTGAGGGCCTATGGGGAAGCAACCAGAAACCAGCTTCTTCTGCCTTGTATTGAGCTGGGCTGGTGGAGTGGAGTAAAGGAATGATGAGGAAGACCCAGGATTTAATCAGAAGGGCCTGTGCGTGGGCACAGTCATGCTGGTGCCTGTGCCTGCCAGGTGCAGCACACTCCACAGACCCTGCTCAGCGTCTCCTTGCAGAACTTCTCACACACGACATCACAAACAGGCACCTGTGCCTCAGTCTTGCCACCTTCTTATCCCCTGATATGACAGTCTCTCTGCTCCCCTCACCTACATTTTCTGCAAGATTTTATTCAACCTGACTCTGAAGACAAGATACTGTAATTGTGATTTCTGTACATAGTTCCATTTACGTACTTTACCAGGATGTTTTGATGCTGAAAATATCCTATGTGTGTCTTTTCCATCCTATTTATTTCCCTGATTATAATAGGAAAGCTTAGCATTGGTCTTTCACTGCATTTTGTGGTATTTGTGTTCATCCTTTTTCAATATGACCTCCAGATTATGCCTCTTCCTGACTCTTCTTATTCTTGTTCTGTCGCTTCGCCCCAGCAGAACTCCTGAACTTTATATCTGTACACAGATATCTGGGTTGTCAGGATTTTTGTGTGTGTGTGTGTGTATAATAAGGTTGTTCGTGAAAGGATTAGACAGGACTGGTCTGAAGAAAGTCCTGAGAAGAACTGAGGTCTGTCAGCCTGTTCAGCTTGGAGAAGAGAAAGCTGAAGGTTGACACATCCCAGTCTCCAGCTTCCTCAGGAAGGGCAGTGGAGGTGGAGGTGCTGATCTCCTCTGTCTAGTGACCAGTAATAGGACATGAGGAAAATGGAGTGAAGGTGTGCCAGGGAAAGTTTAGACTGCACGACAGAGAAGGTTCTTCACCCAGAAGGTGGTCAGGCACTGGAACAGGCTCCCCAGGAATGCGATCACAGCACCAAGCCTGACAGAGTTCAAGGAGCGTCTCAATAATGCTCTTAGTCATATGGCTTAGTCGTGTGATGTCCTGCAAGGAGCAGGGAGTAAGACTTGGTAATTTTTATAGGTCCTTTTCAACTTGAGATATTCTGTGATTCTAACATCTCATCAGTAACAGACTGGGCATATAAAACAGGTGACATTGCCAGTCTGGGCTAATCCTCTTCATTTCCAGTTCCTTCAGTACTGCTCCATATCGTGACCATAAGTTACTGGTGTCCAGATAGTCTACCACATTTTAATGGGTCCAGGAAACAATTATAATAATAAAGAAAAATAAAGGATTAGTTGACTTAAATCTAATTCTACTTATACTGCACTGCATACCATTTTCAAGTTACCTTCACACCTTTGACTAGCTTGTTTCCTTCTTAATTTGGTCTAATTGCACGCTTTTGAAGTCAGACCAAAGGACTGCTGTCTTTCTGGCTCACCTTGTCACTGTGTTTGTTATTCTTCATTTGTAAACTACTTCATCTGACTTGATGAATTTATTTAATTTTTTTTGACCTGGACTTTCTGGTGCTATCTTTATAGTAACTGTGAGACGTATTTGTGATTAAACTGAGAGATCTACCTGTTGAACTTGGAGATCTGTTTTCGTCTTTTCTACACCATGGTCAAACTTTTTGGTTTCCTTTTTACACACAGTTTTGGCTGGCCAGTTTTGTCACTGTCTTTCTATCCACTCTGCACCTTCTTACTTACTTATTCATGCAGAATGGCAGTTCACCTCCTGCACCTTCTGTCTGTCTTTTAAATGCAAGGAGGTTCGGTGCCTTCTTCAGAGTAATCTCAGCTGTTTCATGTGCCACACAATAATATCAGGTTACGTGCTGTGCTGTAGACAGAGATCAGGAGAAATGGGCAAATGAGATGAGGGGAAGGCTTAAACATGTTCTCTTTAGGGCAGAAACGGTGCCAAAGGCAGAAGGAAGCAGTGGGAGGTTTGGACTCTGCTTCCCCTGGTTGCTGGGGCTCCTGCCTGACTGAGGCCAACACTTACCTGCAGTCGAAAGGCTGCCAGTGTTTTTCACCTGTATATCTCTGAGGTGGGGGTCCTGTGCTCCAGAAACTATGGCCTGAGTGTTCACCCTCTGTAGATGACATAAAAATTGCAAGCATAACCCAGAGAGCTCTGGAGACACTCCTTCCTGCCCTCTTTCGTTTTTCAGACCCTCGAGGAACTCATCTTTGGGAATTTATTCGAGATATTCTTCTCAATCCTGAGAAAAACCCAGGATTAATCAAGTGGGAAGACCGGTCAGAAGGTGTCTTCAGATTTTTAAAATCTGAAGCTGTGGCTCAGCTGTGGGGAAAGAAGAAAAACAACAGCAGCATGACTTATGAGAAACTCAGCCGGGCTATGAGGTGAGCTGCATGTTGCTGAGGAAGACTGTGGCATGTACGCAGACCAGCTGGATGGAGGATTTGTCTGACTTTTGAAAATGATTTCTCAACAGCAGAAGTTGCTTTCTTTGACAGTCTCTTACACCAGTTTTGAGATTGTAGCATGATGTTCTTTTCTTCTCCTGTTTCTGTAAAATGTATGATATATAAAACATTTTATAAACAATATATATAAATATATATAAATATATATAATATATATAATATATAAATATATAATAATATATATAAATATATATAATGATATATAAATATATATAATGATATATAATTATATATATATATAATATATAATGATATATAAATAATTGCTTATAGATATGTAAATTCTGTTTGGCTCCATCCAGACAACCAATGTAGGAAGGGAATATGGTTGCAGAAACCTGAGAATGTTTAAATGGCCCAGTAATGGCTGGAGACCTTGTTATTTCCAGCAATATTCAGAAACTAGGTATAACCCACCATCCATTGTCTTAAAATTGGTGTTAGGATTTTCTTTACTCTTTAATTCAACATTTTGAGAATTTTTTCATAATCTCTGAAACTTCAAAATATATTTTTAAAAGGGTGTTGAGGTTCTTTCCTGATCTGATTTTCAGATCCTGGCTTATCTGGAAAAAAACCCTGTGAAATCTCGTAAGAGTGTGTGATAAATATAGCAGTATGCTTTGACCTGAAACACAGTAAAATTAAAACTCAGAAGCTAATTAATATAAAGGAAAAAGAAAACATCCATTTTTCCTTCTCTGTCATTCAGTTATAATGATCTTAGATATTATATATATATATCTCAATAGAAAATCAAGACTTTTTAAGCTAGTCTAAGGGATTGTCTAGTTGGCACTGGCCTTTTAGGACCATAGCTGAATTTATTCTTATATCTTTTTTCTGTTTTTATTTTAACAGATACTATTACAAAAGAGAAATCCTTGAGCGTGTGGATGGTCGGAGATTAGTATATAAATTTGGAAAGAATGCCCGTGGTTGGAGAGAAAATGAAAATTAAATATATCAAGAAATAACATTTAAAACACGTGGATGTAAATATTCAAAGACTATTTTCTTATATTTATGTATCAAACTGGGGTGAGAAAACAATTCTACTTCTGTCGGGAAGAAAGAACATTATCATTATTGGTGTTAAAATTATTTTATTTGAAGTATGTCCTGTATGGGGAGAAAATGTACACAGTTTTCTGTGATATAAGTTAACATTATAGAATTATGATTAATTTTCCCTTCTTGTGAAGTTTTCCTCTTTTTTTTTTTTAAATCATACAGGCATAATGTGATTTACGAGTCATATAAAGAAAGGGAAGGAGCTAAATATTAGGGCATTTAGGGAGTATGATAATCCGCTTTGGAAGGCAACAATAAGTGGAGGAAACAGTAAAGCATCTCTGAGCCAAGTAGCCTTCTTCCATAGTCAGATGGTTTATAGCTTTCCTTGGCCAATACCACTGGTTCCTTCCCGCCTCTGATTTCTGAGTGTTTTAATACTTTGCTGGCTTTCAGCTGCTTTTCTTGAATTAGACAGCAGGTTCCTCTTCAGCTGGCTTATCCCAGCCACAAGAACAGTGGCTCTGCAAGCTGGCTGTCAGCATTTATTTGGAGAGCCCATTCTACCTCCACCACTGAGACCTTTTTTTGTGGGCAGACATTTAGGATCAGACCTTACCTGATACTCAGTGTCCTCTCTAACCTCCTGGACTGCTGGAAGAGTGTTGATCTTGGGGACCAAAAGCTGTTGAAGGAAGATTGTTTTCTGACTGCGAAAACTTATTAAAAGGCACTGGTTTCCCAGCAGGAATGTTATTAATCCTCTCACCCTCTTGCACTTCAAATTAAAGCTTTCAAATCTGTGCCATATAGAGCAGTGAGGGGGTGGGCAAGCAGAACCTTTATTAATCCCTTGGCATGAGGAAGCAGTCTCCCCAGCTGTGATCCTCCAGGAAGGTCAAGTCTCACTTGGACAGATACTTTCAAAAAACCTTTGAGAAATGCAAAGCTAACCTGTGTGTAAAATATTAGTTCCCTCTGCTTTCCTCAAGTCTAATTCTATACTACACTTATATTTGTCATTTGTGCTTGGGATTCTTGGAGGAAAATCTCCATTAACATAAAGACACTGAAATTTTAGGGACATTCAAATCTGGGTCAGTATTTTGGGTTCACCTCTAGCAGCACTATGCAGACACTGAGTGTTCATCAGCAGCTTTTCCTTTCTCCAACTCACAAATGCTTTCTGCCAGCACTGAGCATATGCAGAATGTAGGGAAATAAAATCTAGAGAAGGCAGCACTTCACCAGGTCACTGAGTACATGAGATGTGGGAGTCGAGAAACAGGATTGTCTTGGTGATGTTAACAGAGGTGAAACCAAGATCAATTTCAAATTACTTTTTCAGGGATTGGAATTTGGAAAACAATAACAGGGACTGAGAAGTCCAAATTTAAAAAAAGAAAAGGAAAAAAAAAAGAAAATCAAGTGTATTAAATCCATCCAATATCTATTTCCTGAGGCATCCCCTGGGTTTGAATCCATATTAGCTTGAAATACAGCAAGATACAGCTGGAGGTTGCAGGATATTCTATTTTTGTTTGTCTTAAAAGGAAATAGAGATGAAACCAAGAGACAACAGAAGTATCAATATGAAGGGTATAAAAAGTGCTTAGCAACAATTTGTAGGCAAACATGAGAGCCTAACTTGTTATCTACACATGTAGGGCACGTTAAACAATAGCACCACCTCCTACACTGTGTATGTGAGAGCTGTCACCATCAATTACCCATACATGACAATTTTTACTTTTCATAACCTGGGTGGAGAGAGCTTCATCTTATTTACAAATCAAATAATAAGCCTGTGTACTTCAAAGCATTTTTTTCTCTCAGTCTATCTCTTTTTTTTTTTTTTACTGTCTGTGCTAGCCTTGCTTGCTTTTGCAAACTCAATAATTTCATTTTTTAGCTTGATTTGCTACATTTCACTTCCTTTAATATAATTTTGTAGTTCATATAACAAGGATCAGGCCACCAGATAAGAAGAGCACTTTCACTTTGCTCCTAAGACCATTTCTTCCCCTTACCTGATGGTTGTTTGTAGCCCTTTGCTCTATGCTCTTCACACCACCTCCACACCCTGGGTGAAAATCTGAGATCAGTGGTAGCATCACAAATCTGCAATGCAGTTGTACTCTATCTTAGGTTAACATTTATCTTATAGTAATGGATTGTAATAATTCTTGAATTTGCTTTCTACTTGATCTCTCACAAAATTTCTTGGGAGATAAAATGAACCTGCGATATATGCGTGTCACCACTTGGTTGCTGAGCAGCAGCTAAACCTGCTTCTAAAAGGTTTTGAAAGATAAAACTGTACTTAGAATCATTCTGTATAAATTGAGAGAGTGTTTACGTTGGGGTGCAGTATAAATGGTCTTCCACTGTCACATCTTTCAGCACATGGAAATCATGCAAGTTTCTGTTTCCACCCTGCAGAACTTTGCAGTGTTGTAGGTACTCGTCATTCAGCATTACAATAGCACTAAGTTGGAATAGAAGCCAGCCAACATTTACTCTGTTTTACAAATCTTTGCCTAAGACAAACACAAAGGACTGTTTAAAATTACAGTTCTTGCCAAGGACAGATGCAACCAACCAAAGAGAGTCTTTTTACCAGACCTAAGCAAACGGAGAAAATGAAGAGATGAATTTTTATGTAAATTGCTATTTAAACAAAAAGCATTTCTGATTGCTCTTTTATTTTGTGTTTCAGAGGCTGAGCAATCATATTTTTAGATGTATCCTTTAAGTTAGCAGCTGCTGAACTGGTAGCACCATGTGTATAGATTTTTATTGTACCATAATTTTTCGTATGTATAAAGCTCTAGATAGGAAAGTATATTGTATTTATACAGTCAGATGCAAATCACAACGTCAAAGAGTTGGCATGAGCACTCTCAATATTTTCTGCACAAAATTAGAGCAACTTGCTCTAAAAACATCCTGAGAAACTGTATGTAGGCTGTTGAACTACATAGACATTAAAATGTTTAGTTACATTTTCATGTTTCTTTCTGCAGCACATTGCATAATTCCTGCTTGCTTCTCACAGCATCGTCTTCAATGTCTACGTGTGGAAACAAATCCAAGTTAGATATTTCACTATTGCCATTGTAAATCTCAGCTTGGAGACAATGTATTCACAAAATGGTTCTAAAGACTGTTTCTATTTTTGTGAATATGATATAAATTCAAATAAAACACTCATGAAAGAATATATTTGATTAATGTTTATCTTCCCTGTTTTATTTCTTATGATTGGAAGTGACTGATGTGAATTCTTTCAGTACTGAATAATATTTTAATATTTATGAGAGGAGTGCTGTAACTAGAACAAAATCCAATAGCTTAAATTTACTGATATGTTGAATACCTCATCTATTGTGAAGATACTCGGTTTCCAAACCTGTTTTATGTCTCACAGGCCTCACCGAAATAATGGATTATGTCAACACAGCTAGACTGCCTTTCTTGTTTGGCTACTAAACTTAACAAAGGCCTGACTCCAGCACTGATTTAACTTCAAGGTATTTTGAAGTGTGTGCAAGGGCTAGGCTGATTAAGGATGCCATTACTCAAACCAAGCATTTCCTTTACTGAGTCAAAGCAGCTGAAATGAAGAAATCCTGTCCTTCATGTTATTTTCCATCTGAATGATGGCTATGAAAAGGGGACATCTCTCCTGATTCACTCTGCAGTTTGAGGTAAAAAGAGTGAAAATGCCTACAGTTAAAAGCAAGTCAGGGCAGACTCCTGTGGCACTTGCAGTCTGGGGGCTGTGGCTGTGCCAGCTGGGTGCAGCCCATTGGTGCCCTGCTGGTGTCCCAGGCTGGCAGCACGAGGTGGTGCAGAGCAGCCAGTCTGACACAGAGCTGAGCCTGCTGCTGTGCCAGCACATCTGGAGTTGGGCTGCAATCTCAATCAGGAGCTTCACCGCAATAGGACAGGCCACATCATCGTGCTCTAATCTGCAAACGTGCAGAATTTTAAGCGAGAGGTTCCCCTGCCATTGAAATTATGCATATGGGTGTTTGAGGACGGTGGCTCTGGAAGTGTTCAGTCTATGTTGAATCAGCCTATATTTGAACCTGGAATTTCAAAGGGGCTCCAATATTATGTCCACATAAATAGGAGAATGAGTTTGAGTTTTGAACCCAAGTACAAACCCCAAGTTTAGCATGCAAAATCAGTGTCCCAAGAGTGGTCATAGTTTAAGAACTTGGGAGTCCCAAACTAGGCTTCAAAAGGAATTGGAACTAGATTTCAGGCAAGTTCAGATTGAGATTTAAATAAGCACAGCTGGTTTTCCAGTAAGTGATTGGGGCTTTTATTTCTAGCAAGCTGAGGCCAATATTTGAGACAAACACAGATGAGAATATTGTTTGGAAGCATGCAAATAATTGCTCACCTAATAAACTCCCCTACACCCCCCATTAAAAAAAAATTAAACCAAAACTTGTCTTTTGGTTGTCATTTAAATTGAAGAAAACTGCAGTTTTCAGCTGCAGTCTAAGGCCATGTGAAATAAAAATTCAAAGCAAAATTCAGTTTACCAATCCTATGTAAATTGAGAATAAATAAGAGGAGTGCTGTAAACAGAGTCTACCTACATCTTAACATGATATAAATTTGGGTGTATGTCTGCATCAAGGACAAGTGAGAATTGCTTCAGGTAAGTGAAATCTGGTACTAGCAAAAAAAAAAAGGTGATTAAGAGTTACCAATACTAATAGCTTCCAAAAAATGGGTGAGTTACAATAATTTGAAAGATAGATTATCTCTCTGGATTTTCAGTATTTGCTCCCTTGCTGATGAAGATTTGCACAATGCAGTCTTAAGTTCTAAACTTTGTGCAAGCCTAGAATTTTCTCCAACAGCTACCCTTTCCCCAGATATTTAGCTCCTTCAGTCACTTCAGTGTTAAAGAAAATAATAGGGAAAGAAACAAATAAAGCAGGAAGAAGTGACTGGGTCAATGACCAGGTCTTAATGCACCAAAAATTCTGTGTGGAAATACAAAGGCTGTATGTGCAAAAAAATTTAATAACATCCAAGTCAGTCTATTTATAGTCTTTCCATCACAAGTTGGTCGCAAAAATTAAACATAAATTAGTGTTTACAAGTTTAATTATAGCTTTTAGAAGAACAAGAAATTATAGCAATATTTCTTTGTGTGCTGCATCATCTTGTGTACCTAAAAAAAATTAATTATGAAAAATGACTGAAGCATTATTTCTGCTGAAGAATTTCTCCCCTCTGTATTCAGTAGGGTATGATATCCTCTTTGCTTTCGTCTTGGCTTGAAATTCAACAATAAGATTCAGTCTCAACACGGGGAATGAAGAAGGAGATGGATGATCTGTGTTATAGCAGGTATTTCAAAGCAAATAGGCAAACTGTAGCTTCTTCTTTCTAAATTCTTGGTTCCTTATTTAGCATTTATACTGTCCCTGGGAACAAGATGTGAAGTTGGGGATAAATACCAGTATCAGTGACACATCTTGTGAATTTTGCAGAGGAGACTCTCCATCCCTCTGTAGGAGTGGTGAAGAGAACTTCAGAGCATGAAGATTGTGAAACTCTTCTTATACCTGAGTATGTTGTGAGGCTGAATTCAACACCTTAAAACCTGTTTTCTAAAGCTCCTGCCTGTGTTTTGAAAGCTTTGGACAATAATGAAGCCTTCAGCATTGTGTGGCAAGGGGATTATTGTACTTCACAGCTCACTAGGGAACGGCACAGGATGGCACACCTCATAGCAGCCAGAGATGAGGAGAAATGCTATGTTTGAGTCCATGCTGCAGCCTCTGGAGTCTGCAGGGCTCAGGAGAAGTGCTGTGTTTGAGTCCATGCTGCAGCCTCTGGAGTCTGCAGGGCTCTGCCTCTGCTGAGGTCTAGTGCCACTGTACACCTTCATCTGCATTTCTCAGATGTGCCAAGGCAAAGAGGGGCTGGAGACTTTTAAGAATGCATTGCAGATGCTTTTGTGAGTGCTGCAGAAAGGTCAGAGGGTTACTGGCGCTGCTGAAGTTCCTGGAGGTGATGCTGACATGAGGATGCTAAGACACAGCTGCCAGCTGGAGAAATGGTGTGGGAGAAGGGGCCTCTCCCTTCTTCAAGTCTTGCTGGCTTTCCTCTCTATTTGTCAGCTTCTGTCTCCATTTTTTTTTCTCACATCCCTTTCCCAAGCAGTGTGGTTGTAACATCACTGACTGTACCCATGGGAACTGCTCTTTCCCTGGAAGGGGATGTAAAGTGTTTGTCTTCTGAGTTGTTGAGTTCTAAGGCCAAACCCTCTGGCTCTAGTTCACATCTTTATAGGCTGTTAATTTGCCAAAGTGGGGAGATTCAAAATGCAACTCAAATCTGTAACCAGGGGCTGTCTTATGGAGTCACTGGATTTCAGAGAGGATGGAGGCTCACACCACAGGTCTGATCTTGCCCAGCCTCCTGTAGACTGTGGTACTTCTCAACACAGTCATCCTGTGAAGCCTGTGCCCAAACACTGACAGAAGGAGAAACAACATTCACCACCAAATACTCATAGACTGGAATCTTATGCTGTCTAAGATCCCTGTATTTTCAAAGAAAGCTCAAATAGACATACACTTAATTAAAAAAAAAAAAAAAAAAGAGAGAACACATCACCTTGAATTTCATCCTGCTCACAGCAGATAGAATCATAATGTCTCAGGTAATTAGCTTTGCCTGAGATGATGATCACTCATTTTAAGAGTATATAAAACCTATGAGTTGTGATGTGGGGCAACCTGCAACTCTCCATGCATCCTTCTAGAATTCCCTCTGTACTCCTGTATCTCTCTCTGAATCATACCTCCTCTCCTGGGGAAAGGCTCCCCAGAGCTTATCAGATTCAATTATTGCTGTTTCATATCAATGTTCTCATGTGAAATCAGAATACAAATAAGCCAAGACTACCTCCATACCCCCAAACAATTACAAATGCCGATGAATCACCAGTTATTCATGCCAAACCAATATTTTTCAGTATTTTATAGTTCATGAGTGAAACATTTCAGCATGTTCAAACTGAAATCACCGGCCTGCCAGGAGGCATTTCATGGAGAAAGGCACTCTGCTTGGGGACACATGGCATACCCAGCAGCTGCCATGCAGTCACATTTGTCTTATGGACACTTTGTATTTTTTCCAGTAGGTTTGGAGGTGAAGGGTTAATAAAAGTTGTATTTACTTTCAAGAAAGTTTAGCGTTAGATGATAAAGCTAATCCAATTTTTTACTTTGCTGCCACTGTATGACACACACATGCACTTTGCCCTCCTACTTCCCCAGACTTTTCATCTGATGTGATTTTTAAATACACATACAATGAAAAGTTATGTGGTGGTTAAAACTTTTTTTTCTGGTGTGTAGAAAGAATTTAATTCACTATGCATGGATAACCCATTTGTTTATACTCAAGTTAAGAACAAAGCCAGCTAATAAGCTTTGCTGTCTCCTTAAATAAATGGTTTCACAAGATAATAACTCCATGCAGCTACGCCCAAGGACCATCAGCATTTTTGAAGACTCTTTATGTTTCAGAAAAAGAAGTCACACTGTAAAAGCCAGAAACACTGTGGGAGAGCTATTAAAAGGTGGTATTTTATTTGGATATCAAGGTTAAGAGTTACTGGGGACCTGTGGCCACAGAGGCTTTAAGCAGATCCCCCACTCCACAAAGGGTGTACACCAGCAAGCCTTTACTCAGCTTGGAGGAAGGCAAGGCTAGAAACTGAGCCTTATCACAAACATATGTCCCAGCATATGTGAAACACCTTGAGCTTGATTGCAGATAATAGTCATAGCCTGTTCAAGCTGACTTGAAATCCTTCTGAAAGGGCAGCTCTGGCTCCCATGTCTAGTTTCTCTGTGCCTATTTGATGCCCAGTGTTTGTACCGGCGCTGCCAGATCCAGAAGTCACTCTGAAATGAAAAAGGGAAGTCTTTTTGTTAGATCTCCATATTCTGAGGCCACAGGATCATTAGTCCCAACTCAAGGGAGCAATTGGACACCTGCAGTCAGAGGAACAGGAGTTGGAGATGACTTCCTACCCCTTTAGCAACTCTTTCAGTGTAAGCCAGTTTGTGAAACCTCAAACCTGCTTCATGGAGAGACTTCATGCACATGTGTGTGAGAACCTAGGAAGTGTGTAAATATCTAAATTAGCAACA